TCGAAGGGAGGTAATCGGCAGGAGGCGGTCTCTCAAGTACCCAGATCCACTACCATGGAGTGCTTTTAAGGTTATTGCCTTAAATAATCTTCCAACTTGTACATAGTAGCTTCATACATCTATATATTGCTATATATTACAAGTTAGCACATGGGTCTAATTATTAGGCAGCATTATTCATTTATTTAACACTGCCTGATATTAGTAAGGGAAAAGTAGATGACAGAACATAAAAGGTGCCGAAAATAGATCTTATGGGGGGAAAAAACCAAGCTTTTTAAAATTACACGATAGTACAAGAGAAACCACACCCCCATCAATTTAAGAACATGATTCGTGCAGTATAAATCTAATTTATACTTGTTACATATATGAAGCATAAGAAATGCTCTGCAGTTGAAATATGTGTAATAATAAACTGAAGTTGTTTTTCTCTCTCCCATTTTAGGACCAGCCTCCTCCACCTCCTTACTTTCCTCCAGAGGACAAGAAAACCCAGTAGAGAACCATCATCACATGTTGCATCCTTTATTGCCATGTGGCTAAATATGACAGCGATAAGAGCCACCTTGTCTTCCCCACCCCCACCCTACCCCAGTACATGTATCGCTCATGGACAGAAATGACAGATTATATATATATGCCAGTAGGGAAGTGTTTCTAATGTTTTCCTGGATTTGGGAATGCACAGACACTTAATACATTGTTCTCCTCTATATGATATAATGAAGGAGTCTTTTCCCCTATCCCACCTTTTAATTGTCCCAGAGAACATTCTTCCTTGAAGAAAGACTACTTCAGCTGAAACTTATCAACAGTTATTGAATTTGGTAGGTGTTGATATTTTAGGTGCTGCCCAGCTTATTCACGGTGAAGCTTCAGAAGAAAATTATCTCTGATCTTTTGATTGGTTCTTCGTTGCATGAACCCTGCCATCCTCTGATTAAGGAAGTTCACTGATCTTCTGACAAATTTGACAGCATGTATTAGACATTTGATTCTACTTGGACAATGGGATTTTCTGCCATTTCTTCTACAAGATGCATGTATGGTAGCACAAACGTTTCACACTATGGACAGCCTTGCGTACTCTCTTAATACCGTGGCTCTTTCAGTTTTACAGTAACAAAGTGGTGGCTGCATAGTTTTAGCCAGGAAAGCATCTTTACCTCTATAGTTAACAGGGTAGTTGATTTGACCAAATGGCTGATCGTCCTACTACTAGGTGATATGGTTTCTAAGAGAAAAAATAGTCGTATATAAGCTTATTTATGTGTTTAGTTTAATATTGCACAGATTTTATTCCTTTAATTTTGAGTGTATTGCAACTTGAAGGAACAGATTTATTTTATGGTTTTCAGCCATCACACTCACTCTGTGTGTGTGTGTGTGTGTGTGTTGAACATCAGATTACCTTTCAATAACTCTTTGGTTTGACTTCATACATTCAAAATTAAAGGAATAAAATCTGTGCAATATTAAACTAAACACATAAATAA